ACCCTTCTTAATACCTCGTTTTACGGCGTTAAATAGTAATTATGTATTTTATCATACATCTACTTCCTCCCTGTCCTAATAATTGTTTGACCTATCATTTTAGCCCCTAGCATCTTACTCCATTCCTCCTGAAAAACTGATAGCTGGCTCTGGCAAACTGACCTGGCTGAACGAGCGCTTACCGATCCTTCTTAATCAGGGCCATCGCATTCTTGTCTTTAGTCAATTTGTGATGATGCTCGATATTCTAGAAGAGCTACTCCAGCATTTGGGCCGGAAATATCTCCGCATGGATGGCAATACTTTGGTCTCAGATAGACAGCGGCTTATAGATGCTTTTAATAAGTATGTTCCATTCTTTGTAGTCACATTCGCTTCCATTATATATTCTACAGTCACTTCAATGGATTTTTGTTTTAATCTTATTACCCTCGCTTACTCCTCTAAGTATGTCTACTAGTAATATCTTTCCTGTTTCACTTCACATCTGAATCCATCCATCTTTTCAAATCCACAGTGATACAACACATGACGTCTTTTTATTATCCACACGCGCTGGTGGGTTGGGTATCAATTTGACAGGAGCGGATACTGTCGTTCTACATGATATTGATTTCAATCCATACAATGACAGACAGGCGGAGGATCGGTGTCATCGCGTTGGGCAGACAAGGTAGGAAATCATCTTAAGATTGCTTTGCTTCGGTCTTGCTTTGAGCTGGTAGGGCTCACTCCTCATTTCTCTATTTTGTTCGGATTCCTGATTTTTTATGTTCACATAGTCTATTAATGGACTTTGAAGTACACTTTAATCTTCGGCTGTAAATCAAATTTAATACTAGTACATGTCATATAGCAGTTTAAACTATCACCGACTATGCCCCATCCTTGCTTGATTCAAAACTATTCTTCAGCGTCTTATGTTTGGCCAACTGATTTTTAGTAGAGTATAATATGGCGACATTTTTCCATTCCACCTTTGGATGTTTATCCTCCTAGGTCGATCTGACAACAGGACTACATTTAAAAAGAATGAGACATTTTTAAGTTTTACGTTATGATTTTAATATTTTTCCTGTTACTATCTCTTTTGACTGAATTTATTTCACAGTACTTCCCCTATACAATATTGCAGTCTTGTGCTTTTTGCATATCTAACAGCTTTGTATACTTTACCGACATGTTCAGAACTAAGCAATAATTTTCCAATTCGTTTAATATTTAGCATTTTTCTCACCTATGCTAAATATGATAATTGATGTGTCTTTCAATTCATATGTAAGTATATGATGAAGAGATTCGTAGGCAAATCTCACCAGAATACGTCTACTGATTCACGTTGTTGCAGCCGTTTGGCTTTAATACGACGTTCATGTTGATGCAATCCACGAGACATCCTCTAATGTTTCGGGCTTTCGTTCGTCATGTGACGAACATCGTCAGAGCTAGGACTCATTCTTGCAAAAGCCTCAAGTTAACACTAAATCGAGAAGACTAACCAAACTTTTTCTATATGATATATATACTACTTGCAAGCAAAATTTACGATATAGATGGATATAGAAAGACTTTATTAATTCACCTATACTCGAGTGTGTCTGTGTGTGCATGTATGTTAACGTCTGTACGCAAGACCAGTCATAGCTTAGAGTAATTAGAAAAAGGCTTAAAGTCAGCCCGGGGTCATCAATGCTTAATGACCAAAGGAAAAAAAGGATGATCGAGATTGAGTTGGTCCGTAAATAACCTTGGTTAAATCGATAAGATGTACACGTTAAAAGTCAGGCTACGAAACTACCTGTCAGGACCCGTTAGTCTGGGTTATTAAGGTTTGCTGACCCAGGATATTCTTCTATACTCGTATTTTCTTTGTATAAATATGATTATATCTGAATGTCTGATAACGAGCATCGTTAACGGCCTGATGTAGTAAGTGTTTGTGATTGCGGTCGAAAATGCATTTTTAT